CACTCATTAATGTTTCAGGCTAAGTGTTTCTCTCAATTCATGCATTTTGCCTCACCCTAACATATATTTTCCCATATTCTTAATCTCCTTTGCCTACATACAATGAACCACCTATCATAAGGGCTTTGTTAGTCACAAATGGGGTTAGGTTAGGTTCAATTTTGATCAAGGAAGGACAAAAGCTCAAGTGGGTTTTTAAAAGGAGGGAATTCCTTTGAGTGAGTGAGTACAACAACTAGAATGGAATGCATTAAAAGATGCAGTTTATGTGGTTCAAGCATTCTTTCACCATGTTTTTCATTATTTTGCCTTATATGGGATTCTTTTCAACTCAAGGCCCTTGCTGTATTTTTTTTTTTTTTTGTTTTCATTCATTCATCATCAATTTTTTATGGACTTGACAATCATTCTCTTCTTCAATTTCAAACATTTTTTTACATGTATTATTAACATGTATGATGTTCACCACCCCAAACTTAAGATTTCGCTTGTCCTCAAGCAACTACAGTAATAATCAGCACCCCAAACTTAGTTTCTTGCATTCACTCTTGATGCAACTCAAAAGAAATACCTCTCTTAAGGTAAGGAAATATGTTTGCAGACTAAGTTTGGCAAAAAAAAAAAGAAAAAATGTGGAACAAGGACAATTAGGTGCAAGGGTGTGTGTGTGGGTGTGTGCAAAGAAGGACTCAATCATCTAGATGAAAAATTGCACAATGCATATTCAATTAAGAAACAGGGCAAGTTCGAGAGGATAGATGCAACAATACATGTTATAGTGCACATAAAAAAGAAATTAAAGGCTCAATTCTCTACCAAGGCAAAGGTGATAATTTCTTAGCAACATGTGAGTACAGTTCACCTTTCAAGAAAATATGTTCAGTATGGTAGGAATGGTAAATATGTACAAAATAAAGAATGATTGAGTTGAATGGGAAGTGCAATTAGAATATAAAATTAGAATTACAAATTTGGACTAAATTAAAAACAAAAGCACAAAGGAAAAATATATTTTTGTATGTTTTTGGCTATTACTGTGCAAGGAATTTAGACTGAGTAGTCATGAAATAAAAGCAAGGAGATCACTCCCCTTTCATGGATGATGGCTCACAATTCAGGAATCAAATTGATGCTCCTCTTGATAGGACTAAGGGCACACTCTGCAGAGAGACGCACAATGGATTTAGCACAAAAAGGAAGTCTGGAGACTGGACAAATATTTATATATAAAAGAGAATGAAAGCATCAAGTAACTATTGAAAGATAAAGCAGTAAAGTAAAAGTAAAGAAAGAAAAGAAAAGTGATAAAGTGTAATAACTATGGAAATGGTGGGTAATATGTACAAGGAAATGAAATAAAAAGAACTAAAAGGTAAATGACATAAGGGAAACTAAAAACTAAATTAGATCTTCGTTTGAACTGGAGGAGTAAAAACTATCAGCTGCATCCTCTCCTTCTTCCTCTTCTTCTTCCGCTGAGGAGCTTAAAGAGAGGAAAGTGTTCCAGCAGTCCTGCCTCTTTGGTCCTTCTGGTGTTTCTAGGTGTATTCACCATTTTGCTGAGCTGAGAGTAACTACTTTTGCTTTGGAAAGTGATTATCTTCAAGATAGACTCTTCTTTTTCTCACCAAAGTGGTTACATTAAGCTCTGAAAATGTTTACTCCTGCTGCACTTGATCCTCTCTTGAATTTAAGCAGAAATTAGATCCAAAATTTGTATTCTCCCTTTACAAAATTCAGAATTATGCAGAAACACATGTCAAATATCAAAATAAAGTGCAGACCAGAATGTTTATGCAGCAGAATTCATGAGATATCCAAAACTCAAGTGAAGGACCAATGCTAAATGCAGAAAACACAATTAAAAACTCAAATCCAAGAAAATTTTGTGAGTTGCCTCTCACACAGCTCTCTTTTAACGTCACTAGCTTGATACCTTATGATCTTTAGTTCTAGGAGATACTTTTGATGGTAACGGTTTAAGTTGTATCCCTAGATATTCTTCCTTTTTCTCAAAAATCTGCAACACTTTATTTAATTGGGAACATGGAAGAAATAACTGCAGAGGGACATCCAGCGGCTTGATTAACTCAATGAGCTTGTCTTCATGCTCTTCATTGCCTTGATGTGCAAAATATGATGTCCTGCTATTGTACTTGGGCTGCTGCTCTCTTGGATATACAATGATGTAATAGTCATACTTCAAGAGCTCAAGCAAAGACTTCAATTCAGATATAGGAGGCAATGTAAAATTTGGAGCTGGATGTGGAGCTTGCACTTCAACAAATGCCTCATGATTCATTTCCTTAGAACTTGCAATGGCTGCATCATGATTTGCTTCCTCAGAATCTATAATAGCTGCATAAAAATCACTATACAGATATGTATCAATCTCGGCACAAAAGCTACATTTTGCAGAATTACTAGAAGCATCACAAGTAAAGGAATCAGAATAATTGGCTAAGTTAGGATAATTAATACAATATGAAAATTCAGAAAACTCGACCAAATTATCATCAACTAAATCATTCAACAAATTATCATGTAAAATCGAATGAAATGGAAGAGGAACAGGTTGCTCAAAATTTTCTTCTACATCAGTAGAAGTGGCATGAGCAGTAGGAGCAAATTCTACACTTGCTGGGCTGCAATCACTTGCTGAAGCAGTAGCATTAAGATCTTCTTTTGTTGGTTGCGCTCTTGTGAGTCTTAAAAGGTCTCTCCTGATATCAAGGTAACATTCTCTGGATTCATAACTGGTTGTACGAATAGATTACCAGAACCTTGAGATTGCAAATGATTTAAAGCGGAAGCAATCTGTCCAATCTGATTTTCCAAGTTTTGAATGGATGCTTCTGTTCTTTGCTGGAAATTCAGATCGTTAATTGCCATTTCCCTCATCAACTCTTCCAAGGAAGGCTCATTCTTGGAAGGTGCAGCAGTTTGTGGTGGAGGTTGATATTGTTGCTGCATAAAATTACCCCATCCCAAGTTCAAATGATTCATCCAACCTGCAGGCTTATACAATGTAGGACAGAAATCAGTGGAATGTTCAGGTGAAGCACAAATTTCACACAACATATCATCCATCTGTGATAATGTCAATTGCTTGATCAAAAAAGCTAAATCATCTAGCTTGTTTTCTAGTCTTCTATGATCAGCAACATGAAAAGTTCTCTCAGACATATTATCAAAATCAAAGTGAAAAGATAGGAGGAAGAAGTAGGAAAAGAAACGGAAATAGAGTCACTATATAACAAAATGATGCAGAATGGGAATTATGCAGAAAAATTATGCAGCAAAATGCTTAAAAACAACAAAAATAGAGTAGAAAACAAATGCAAAAATCTGCAGAAAAAAGAAAATTATGCAACAGAGTTAAACAGAACAAGAGCAACACAAATTGGAGAAAAAGATGCAAAATGCAGAAAATGCTGCAGTAGAAAATTATGTAGAATTATGCAGAGAAAACTGAAAATAGAACAAAAACGGAGCAGAAAATAAATGCAGAAAAATGCAGAATGCAACAAGCGAAGTGCAAAAATTTAAAGACAAAAACAAAATGCAGAATTGCAGAATTCAAATGGAAGAAAAGTGCAGAAGTTTATGCAGCAGAAATGCAAGAATTATGCATATTTGTGTACCAAAAAGTCTGCAGAAAAATAGAATTTGAAAACAGAATGCAAGGTGGAAAAAAATGAATTTAGAATGCAGAATTGTGAAAGAGTGAAAAGCAAAATTATGCAGAGTAAACAGAATGCAGAAATGCAAAAATTATGTGCTAAGAAATTTGCAGGAAATTATGCAGCAAAATTCGTATGACAGATTAACGAACACACTAACTCTACGTAACTTCAAAACAGAGAAATTAAACACTCAAACATAGACTCATGCAGAATTAAATGGACAACCACACAATTGAAATTATGTTATACTACCACAATGCAAAAATCAAAATAAAACAAACACATTAACATGCAAAATGCAAAAATAGAACACAAAACATGTTTAATATCTAATCAAGCACCAATGATTCCCCGGCAACGGCGCCAATTTGATGAACGAAATATTTTCTCATTTGCAAAAAGATTTGTCGTCAACCTTCATCAAAATATGCAGAAAAATTTATGTAGTCTAGGATGCAAGCGTAGGTCGTCTCCCATGAATCATTGGACGAGTGACCAAATATCAAACATGTAATGTGCAATGTATTTAGAAAGCAAGTAAAAAGGGGGGGTTTTGTGATTTCAGGTTCAATCAACTTAAGCAGAAAATTAAATTGCAAAGTTCAATCGATAAAATGTAATAACCCCTAGTTCATTCATATAAACTCTATCCCTATTCCTCTCAAGATTTAATACTCTTCCTCTCCTCCCAGAATTAGGTTGATTTAACAAGGGAAAATCAACCTTATGTTTTCATATGAATTAAGCAATCCAATGAACTCCAATCTCTCATTCCTTGATTACGCAATCTTAGAATTAAACAAGAATTAGGCAATTCAAATTTAGAATTTCCTCAAAATAAATTAGGGTTCATTACGCAATGCTCCACTCATTCAACCATTAATTCAATTCAAGAGTTTGGGAGGAAGAAATTCATGGAAGAAAAAGATTTGCATTAACATTCAAAAAACCAAGAATTCAAGAATCCATATGAACTCACTAGAAATTAGGTTGATTTAACAAGCGAAATATTTCCATGTCTGTTTCTATTTAGAGAGTTTTTGAAAGGAAAAAAAAAATTACTCTACTATTTAACTTTTTATGAAAATTTATTATTTATTGAGAAAAGAAATATAAGGAGTCACAATTTTGGTATCAGAGCAGTTCATCCAGACCAGACTGGGGTATGGGACTAACATGTCTGTGTTGTGTAATAGATATACTAGAATATGAAATGATTATTTGCTAATATGACTTGTTAGATGTGAATTACGTGAACTAGATCTATCTATGCTAGATTAATAAGTGATTTGAGTTTATTGCATGATTAGAGCTATGGTTGGTAGAGGTAGACCTGCTGGTGCTACAAATGAACTCCTGGAGCGCATGACCCAAGTCTTAGAGACTTTGGCACATAACCAGGAGGCTGAACCAGCCGAGTATAGAGGACTTGCTTCTTTTACTAGGCATAACCCTCCAAAATTTGAAGGAAAGTTTGATCCTGAGGGAGCTCAGAGGTGGATAGCAGACGTGGAGAAAATTTTCCATGCCATGGGATGTAGAGATGAGCATAAAGTAACTTATGCTACTTATATGCTGAGTGGAGAAGCTGAGAACTGGTGGAGATTTGCTAGTCAAACTCTACTGCAAGAAGATGGTTATATTCCTTGGGAGACATTCAAGGCAACCTTCTTGGGAAATTATTTCCCTAGAGATTTAAGGTATATTGAGGATGGTTGATATGATTATATGATTTTGTGATATGAAATATACAAAGAGATGGATGTTTCATGTTTGAATATATTGTGTTTCATGTAAAAATGATGTGTATTGTTAATATGCCATGGTTTGATGTATATGATGAAAAGTATGTGGAAATATGACGAAAAATATGTGTGAACTTGAGAAATGGCATATGTGAACATGTGAATATACTCAAAAGAGTATGAGATGGAAAAAAGATATGATGTAAATAGTTACAGAGATACACTGGGGAGTGGAAGATAGAGACGATATGGGATATCTTGGGGAAATGTAGGGTGGTGAGTGACATTCGGGATTGTGCACGGAATATTGTGTTCGAATGCACCACATGGCCACACACTCATTTTCTGACTTGACTCCTGACCATTACCTTTGCTAAGGGGCCGTCTATTGCATGCGTTGTATCCGTATTGCATTGGGCCATCCGGCGACTATTTACATGGATGTGTAAGACCTCGGGATAGAGGCATCGGATAACTGTGGCCACAGGGCGCGGTAAGCGCAGATAAAAGTAAAAGAAATTGTGAATCTGTAATACACGTTGAGATGAGAATATGCTTTATATGACCCTGTGATATGTAATGCCATGATGTTTTCTTTAATCGTGATAAGATGTGTTTTGTGAAGAATGTATGTGTTATGTATGAGTGGTAGGGTAGAGACTCACCCTTACACAACATTTTTCAGGAAACCAGGACGAATAGTACCAGGCTCACAGTGCATGGATGGATGAGAACTGCTATAGGACTTAGTTATTTTGAGTTATGTAATGAATATTTTCAGTTCTATAGCATTCTTTTGAAACAGTTGTAAAACTACTATTTCTTTTTATTGCTGATGAAAATTCTAGAATCTTTGTTTTTCTAAAGTACTTATAAATTAATAAAATTTTAATCTATGAACTTTATATCATTTCCATGTCTGTTTCTATTTAGAGAGTTTTTGAAAGGAAAAAAAAATTACTCTACTATTTAACTTTTTATGAAAATTTATTATTTATTGAGAAAAGAAATATAAGGAGTCACACAATTATAATTTAAAATAATGATGTAAAATGTAGTAAAATTCAAATTAGAGAAACTGAGATTGAATTTCATCTATCTCTCTCTCTGTATTTCAGTAATTTAGTGATAAACATAGCAATCATTTACAATAAATTTGATGCAAAATACAAAAATCATATATCCCAATTTCTTAAAAATATATTTCTAAGATAATTTCTAAAATGTTAATCCCTCAAGCAGTTAAAAAACTATCCAACATTATAATCATGATTTAAAACAGTCGATAACTTGAAATCTATTCTTTGAATAACCAGTTATTGAGTAATCTCAATCAGATCTGGATCTAAGAAATATATCTTTCCAGATATAACTCATCAATTAGAAAGATTCAAGCATTACACATGGATTGAAATCACCCAACCAATAGAAATGAAGAAGAAACAACTATATTTATATAAATTACTAAGAATACATCAAGTTTAAAGATTTACATTCAATCCCATAAGAATTTTAGCTACTCATTGCAACCATAATAACAAGAAATGAGATACAAACAGTATTAAATATGAGATAATATGTGTTCCTACTCTTTCTCTCAGCTCTCTGCCGTTCTCTCTCTTTAAGAACAAGAATGGAAGAATAGTCATTTGCAGAAACACAAAAGTGGCTTTTTATACTGGTCTAGATGAAGCTTCTCTCGCTACAGTGACATCCTCTCGCTATAGCGAGAAATGGAGGCAAAATTAGGTCATTATGCTTGTTTCTCACTGTAGCGACCTCGGTTTTGCTATAGCGAGAAAAGATACTCTCACTACAGCAACAAATTCTCGGTGTAGTGAGAGTAGCACAGATTCCCTCTTAATAAACTTATCGCTTCTCGCTGCAACGAGGATCTCTCACTACAGTGAGAAACCTCCAGAATCTCTTTCTTCTTCAACATTATGCTTTTGTGTGCCTCTTAATTAACTTTCCAAATTTCTTCAATTTTGAATGATGTTTCTATTCTAATTTCAACTACAAAATATATAAAAAAAATGAATGAAAATACTTACATTTGCATTCCTCTCCTCAAATATACAAGTAATTGTAAAAGTTTCAAGTTTAGGAGAAATTTAACCATCCAAATATTTAACATGAAAAATGTTCAAGTCATCATCTAAAATTACCCAATTTATACATTTATCAGGAACTCGAGATAAATGAAATAAAAAGAGCAAAGAGAGTAATATCACTGAGCATAAGCAATCAAAAGGTTTTCCAATTAGAATCTTATATTCCCTAACTTTTCACTCAAATATCAAACTAAGATACTCAACTTTCCTCTCTGAATAATTGTCTAGGGATAAAATAAGATATCACTCAGATCCTTTTAAGAAAATTATGCTATCATAGGCTTGACTATAAACCGACTCTCCACTAAATAAATTAAATGCTAGTAAAAATCATGAAGTTTTTTTTAGGTTGTAGTGGGCCAAAGGTTTATAATAATTGAGGTGACATAAATGAAGGGAAGGGATATACAATGGGGTAATAAATTATATAAATTACAAACATCCCCTAAATATACAAATGAAGCTCTTGGAGTAATTTTTATATTTTTATATATAATCAGTGTCTTCACTCCTCTCTACTTTCATTCATATATAACCTTTTTTCTTTTCTTTTTGCTATTTTTCATTTTCTTGTTCATACTTTCCTTCTTTTTGCACATGAGAGATATGGAGGAGAATTTATCAAACAATTCAACAACTATATTGCTCCATTCATAAACTCAAGGTCATCAAAATATTTTATAAATTTAATGCAAGGGACCAAGAAAATCAATAAGGCTCAAAGTGGGCAACTAGTTGTATTTTTGTCTTAAACATGCTGAAGGCTAAGAATAAAAATCCTATTATGCCTCAATCACATTAAAACATGCAATAAAAAAGAGTAGTCTTAAGTCGGTTACAAGTCAAGTTCTAAAGCATAAATTTTAAGGAGATAATCACACAAAATAATGAGGAAAGGGGTATAATTAATTAAATTAGGATAAAAATCCCCTTTAAGGCTCAAAACTCACATTTAAGGGTTAAAGTTTAATATAGAGCAAAAAAAGTAAGGAACTTAGCTAATTATCAAACAATCCAAATGAAAATATAATGCCAATAATAATAACTCAACATGCAGTTCTATCTGGAAAAATCGGGTTCCATAAGGAAAAAAGTTTCAAATTATCATAAAAAAGTGGCACAGACACTTCTTAAGAACATGCAATAACAATTATATAATTTCGAACCATTCTCTCATACTTAAAGCAAAACATTGTCCTCAATGTTAAAAACAAAAATATGTAAAAAATGGCAATTAAAAAATAGAGAGGAAAGAGATTTCCTAATAAGTCTAAACGCATCAGTCTCTGATGGAGAAACACGACCATGATTAAACCATAACATGCTCATGCTTATAATATAAAGTTTTCTCTAACAACTGCGACTAAATGCAGAGGCGTGCATGTGCTGAGCAAAGGCGTGCATTTGGATCAAAGCTCAAAGTGTGTACGCAGAAATGATCAACTCAGCTCTTTCGAGCTTCTAGTATGCTTATTCCGCATCCAAAAAAAATTGAAATAAATAATTAACTAAACAAAAACAAAATTAAAATGAGTGAAAGGAATAAAATAAAAATGAAAGACACAAATTGCCTATTAGAAGCACCTATTTAACGTCACAAGCCTGACGTTTCTATTAGATCAAGGTGAGAAAAAGGCACGAGTCTTAGAGGTGACTCCTTTGATATGCAGTTGTACCTTCCAACATTTGTTACATTAGAAAGATTATTCATAGGATGAGGATTAAAATAAAGAGAAGAAAATGTGAGCTCTAAATTAGGAGGTTATTAAAGGATGGTTTGAGTTTTTGTCTTTTATTTTTCTTATATTTCTTCTTCCTTGGCCCTTTGCTTGGAGTTTCATGCTTCATAGATTTTAGGGAAGGAGAAATAGCATCCACAGTGCTTACAAAGTTGTAGGAGTCTTGGCTAGAAGAGTACCTTAATGAGATAAAAAAAATTGGAAAAAAAAAAACTTCCTCATCATTTAGCCGCAGGGTGAGCTTTCCTTCTTATACGTCTATGATGGCCCTTGCGGTGGACAAGAAAGATCTGCCCAAGATGATGGGGACATCACTATCTTTCTCCATGTCAAGTATTACAAAATATACAAGAAATAGGAACTCTCCAACCTTCACAAGTACATTTTCCACTATTCCTTCAGGATAAGTAATCAACCTATCTGTCAACTGAAGTGACATGGAGGTCGATTTTCGTTTATGCACCCAAGCTTCCAAAAAATAGAATAAGGCATAAGGTTAATATTGGCTCCTAAATCACATAAGCCTTATCAATATGAGTTTTTCCAATTGTGTAAGAAATAGTAAAACTCCTTGGGTCCTTAAGCTTAGGTGGAAGCTTTTTAAGAACTATAGCTAAGCACTCCTTAGTGAGCTTCACAGTTTCATGTGCTCTTAGTTTCTTCTTATTGGTCAAAATCTCCTTGACAAAAAAAAGGCATATTGATGTGCACTTTGCCCAATAACTCTAAGAATTTGTTGAACTCTTTATCGTACGAGGGTGACCTTGCAACTGTTGTGGAAAGGGAATTTTAAGCTCATAGAGCCTTGGTTGTACAAGAGGTTCTTCTTTCTTTTCTTCTCTAGGTTTTGTGATTGAAGCACAACCTTGCTCATGAGGATGCACGGTCATGCCTATTGTTTCAACATGGGCGTGCTTGTATGTTAATGTAATTGGCAAGTGTACCAAGTTTTGATGTAGTATAAAAGATTATCGTATCCACAAGAAGTGGTGATATACAACTAATTTTAGTTATCCTAACTAAAAAGTAATAATCCTAAGTATTCACAAATTCACAACTACCCTTCATGTACTTTTGATTAATTGGATTCATGAAAATTTAGCAAGATGACAAAATATAAA